CTCAGGGAGTTGGGAAGGAGTCAGTCAAACTGGAAGGGCATGAGGAGTTCAGTGGGAGGAGGTTGTGGGAAGAGCAGTCCCAGGAGAGGGAACAGGATGTACAAAGGCCTGGTGGTACTTCTAGAGAATTTGAAATAGCTGAGTATGGGTGGGAGGAGCACTTTAGTGGCCAGGGATGATGTGGGAAGGTCGGTCAGCAGAGACTTGGTCACACAGGGCCTTGTGGGTTTGTTTTTAGGAGACACAGGATCTCCCTATGTTGCTCAGGTGGTCTCGAACTCTTGGGCTCAAGGGATTGTCTCACCTCACTCTCTCAAAGTGCTGGGATTATAGGTGTGAGCCACTGCACATGGCCAGCAGAGACCTGGTGGACTTTACACTTTGGGCTGGGCTAGGGAACACAGAAAGTATAGGGAGATGACAGTGGTCACAGAAGGGGACAATCAGGCTGGCCAGGGATCAGATGTCCAGGTGAAGCCAGGGTTCTAGCAGAAGGTCCAGGTGGCCACTTATGCTACCTTTGAGATAGGGACAGAGTAGGCACAGGGGATAGCCCCATCCTTGAGTTCCAGACCTCAGGGACTGTCTACCTTCCACCAGACCCCAAGGGCAGCCACTCACCCAGCTGGGGCAAGTACTTCTGCCGCTGTTCCTCGCTGCCGTAGGCATAGATGGGGTACATGACGAGGGAGGACTGGACACTCATCGCCGACCTGTAGCCACTGTCTACCCGCTCCAGCTCTCGGGCCAGGAGCCCATAGGCCACAGACGAAACCCCAGCACAGCCATATCCTGGTGGCAGTAAGAGGGGAAAGCAGGACAACAGAGAACACAGCCCTGCCCAGCTGGGACCCAAGAGGCAGAGCGGGATAAGGATGTACGGGAGACAGGCATCAAGCCAGCCCTAGCTGAGGTTTATTCATCTCATCTCATCTCATCTCCACAGCCACTTTCAGAGGGTGGGACAACTGGAGACCCCAGCCACAAACACAGAGGGGCCTTGAGGTGGGGTGGGTGTGGCTCCAGCAGAAGCCCCACTTTACAGACTGGGAAACTGTGGATTAGGGAAAGAAGGGGGTTTCAGAGAGGCAGGAGGATTACTTGAGACCAGTCTGGGCAACATAGCAAGACCCTGTCTCTAAAAAAAAACCAAAGGGGCCAGGTGCAGTGGCTCACACCTGTAATCTCACCACTCTGGGGGGCTGAGACAAGTGGATCACCTGAGGTCAGGAGTTCAAGACGGGCCTGGCCAACATAGTGAAACCCTGTCTCTACCAAAAATACAAAAATTAGCTGGGTGTGGTGGTGTGCCCCTGTAATCCCAGCTACTTGAGAGGCTGAGGTGGCAGAATTGCTTGAAGCTGGGAGGCAGAGGCTGCAGTGAACCAAGATCATGCCACTGTACTCCAGCCTGGGCAACAGAGCAAGACCCTGCCTCAAAAAAAAAAAAAAAAAACAACTAGGGCCAGGTGTGGTGGCTCATACCTGTAATCCTAACACTTTGGGAGGCCAAGGCAGGCGGTTCACCTGAGGTCAGGAGTTCGAGACCAGCCTGGCCAACATGGTGAAACCCATCTCTACTAACACAAAAATTAGCCAGGTGTGGTGGTGGACCCTTGTAACCCCAGCTACCTGGGAGCCTGAAGAAGGAGAATCACTTAAACCCGGGAGGCAGAGATTGCAGTGAGCCAAGATGGTGCCACTGCACTCCAGCCTGGGCAACAAGAGTGAAACACTGTCTCAAGAAAAAAAAAAAAAAAAAAAAAAAAAGGCTGGGTGCAGTGGCTGACACCCGTAATCTCCCAGCACTTTGGAAGCCCAAGGTGGGTGGATCACCTGAGGTCGGGAGTTTGAGACCAGCCTGGTCAACATGGCAAAACCCCATCTCTACTAAAAATACAAAAATTAGCCGGGCCTGGTGGCATTTGCCTGTAATCCCAGCTACTGGCAAGGGCTGAGGCAGAAGGTTCGTTTGCACCCAGTAGGCAGAGTTTGCAGTGAGCCCAGATTGTGCCACTGCACTCCAGCCTGGGCAACAGAGCAAGACTCCGTCTAAAAAAAAAAAAAAAGAAGAAGAAGAAGGAAGAAGAAAAGGAAAGGAAAGGTAAAGAAAGAGAAGGAAGGAAAGAAAAAAGAAAAGGAGGGAGGAAGGGAGGGAAGGAAGAGGCTTTCAGAATACACTGGGGTCTGCAGTATGTGGAGAGATACTTGTTCCTACCTTTGATGGTGGGGCCCAGCACACCCAACTCCCCCATCTCCGAAATGATCTCCCGATGAAAAACTGCAGAGGGACAAGTGCCCAAATTCAGGCCCAGCCCTAGGCCACTGGAGACCCCAGCCACAAACACAGAGGGGCCTTGAGGTGGGGTGGGTGTGGCTCCAGGAGAAGGAGCAGCCTCAGAGCACCACCCGCCTGCTCGCACACCTTCGTTGCGATTGGCCAACAGGATGCGAGGCATAAGTCTCTCCTGGCAGTAGGTGCGGAAGGTGTCCCTGATGAGGATCTCATCTGTCGTCAGCTGCTCCTCCAGCACCAGCGGGTCCTGCCAGTCAAACTCGGGACGCGAGGCTGGGGAGGGGAGCAGGATTTCGCCTCGGTCCAGTCTGCCCGACCACTGCGCCCTCCCTTATCACACCCTCAGCTCTACTCCTTCACACCCATGTCGCCCCCCCACCCAGGCTACTGCCAGTTGCAAACAAGACTGACCAGGTGACCTTTCTCCAGCCCCGCAGGCACAGCACACTCACGGCCTCAGTGCCTCTGACCCTGGCCACGACCCTGCCACCCCGCTCAGGCAGTCCTCAGATTCTGGGACAGAGTCCACCTGGGGCAGACTGACAGCTTGTCCAGGACAGGGGCAGCAGACACACGGCGCGACCAGGGGTCCTTACACTTGGCCGGTCGGCTCTGTGTCCTTCCGCCTTTCTCTACAAACACAAAACGGGACAGTCACCCCCGGAAAGTCCCTAAACCCCCAGTTCCTCCCTCCTTCCCTCCACACTTCCAACCTCGCACTGACCGGTCTGCGCCGCCGTCGAGACCCACGTGCGAAGGACGCGCAGGCCGGGTCCGCGGATCAGCAGCCGCGCGGAGACGCCTCTCAGGGCCATGTTCTCTCAGGGCGAGCTAGCGGAGCAACGATGGCAACCTACAGGAGCGGAGGCGTCAGAGCAGAGCTCCTCTCAACCACCGCTCGGGTCACCCCACCTTCCTCACCTGGTACCTCCCGGCTCACTGATAAGGCTACAGTGCAACTGACCAAGGCCTTTGACCTCAGCGAGAGATGGGAGGAGCGGAGGCCGAGTGAGCCTTCTCATTGGTTCCTCATAGAATCCGGCCCCGCCTCAGCTCTGTTTTTAAAAGGGCTACGGCAGCCTTGCCTGGGGAGACAGGGGCCCACAGACAGAGGAAGGTTATCCCCTTTAAGAAGCGGCCGGGGAAGGGGAGGAAGGCGAGTGCGGGAAACCGATTGGCTAGCGCGTTTCTACCTCTTATTGGCCGTATGGTAGCGTTTGACCTACTCCTGGTTGGTCAGTTGCAGGGGGTGTGTGCGGAGGAACCAGGAATTAAACAAAGAAATTAAGGCACGAGGACTAGGAGTCCTTCCGAACCCAGGAGGCCAGACTCAAGTTCTCTAACTGGACAGTGGTTGTGGGGAAGATGAGCGCCGATTGGGCGATCTTAGCAAACCTGCCTGCCAGTCTGTTCCAGGAAGCACAATAAAGATACTTGAGACTCGTGTGTGTGTGTGTGTGTGTGTGTGTGTGTGTGTGTGTGTGTGTGTGTGTGTGTGTAAACTTGTGTGATTCTGTGAGTCTATGTGGGTTGTTTTTGTTTTGTTTTGTTTTGTTTTCAGACCGAGTCTCACTCTGCCCCCCAGGCTGGAGTGCAATGCAATGGCGCCATCTCGCCTCACTGCAACCTCCGGCTCCCGGGTAATTCTCCTGCCTCAGTCTCCCAAGTAGCTGGGATTACAGGCGCACACCACCACGCCTGGCTAATTTTTGTGTTTTTAGTAGAGACGGGGGGGTTCACCATGTTGGCCAGGCTGGTCTCGAACTCCTGACCTCAGGTGATCCGGCCCCCTCGGCCTCCCAAAGTGCAGGGATTGCAGACGTGAGTCACCGCACCTAGCCTTGTTTTTTGTTTTTTTTAGGCAGGGATTCGTTCTGTCGTCCAGACTGGAGCGCAGTGGCGCAATCATAGCTCACTGCAGCTTCCACCTCCTGGGCTTAAGCGATCCTGCCACCTCAACCTCCAAGTAGCTGGGACCACTGAAGCATGCCATCCTGCCTGGCTTTTTTTTTTTTTTTTTTTTTTCTGAGATGGAGTCTCATTCTGTTGCCCAGGCTGGAGTTCAGTAATGCAATCTCGGCTCACTACAACCTCCATAGGCAGAGCAGCCCCAAAGGCTGCTGGTTGCCCATTTTTATGGTTATTTGTTTATTTATTTGAGACGGAGTCTTGCTCAGTCGCCCAGGCTGGAGTGCAGTGGCGAGATCTCGGCTCACTGGAACTTCCGCCTTCCTGGTTCAAGCTATTCTCCTGACTCAGCCTCCTTAGTAGCTAGGACTACAGGCACGTGCCACCACGCCCGACTAATTTTTTGTATTTTTAGTAGAGACAGGGTTTCACCGTGTTAGCCAGGTAGGTCTCGATCTCCTGACCCCATGATGCACCCGCCTCAGCCTCCCAATGTGCTGGGATTAAAGCATGAGCTACTGAGCCCATCCCCATTTCTTTTTTATTTAATTAAATTTTTTTTTTTTTTTTTTTTAAGACAGAGGCTTGCTCTGTCACCTGGGCTCGAGTGCAATAGTGCCATCTCAGCTCACTGCAACTTCCACCTCCCAGGCTCGAGACTCTCGTGCCTCAGCTACCAAATTAGCTGGGCTAACAACTTTTTAGTAGAGATGAGGTTTCCCCGTGTTGCCCAGGCTGGTCTTGGACTCCTGACCTCAGGTGATCCACCTGCCTTGATCTTGAAAAGTGCTAGGATTACAGGTGTGAGCCACCACATTTGGCCCTATTTTTATGGTTATTTCTTGATGATATGCATGTAGGGTTAAGCCCTACGGGATCATGGGATGTCCCCTATCGCTGTGCTGAGGCACAGGATCCGAGAAATAAAGAAAGACACAGAATGACAAACAAAGCGCAGCTGGGCTCTGGGGGGGCCACACCACCTACAAGCGGAGACAGGCGAGGCCCCAAACATCCAGGAGCGTCTGTATTTATTGGGTATAGGTTAGGGGGCAGGGTAGTAAGTGAGATCATCTTTAAGGATAGTGATAGGGTCAAGACATTCACGTGAGCGATAAACAATGGGTCCACCCCCATTAGGTCATCTAGGCTAGGAGGTGGGCAGTGCACAGCAAGGGGTCCACCCCCATTAGGTCACCGAGGCAAGGAGGTGAGCTGTGCACAGTGAAGAGGATGCAGTGTGCAATATCTCTTATTAAGGGGAAGCTACTTCTAAGGAATTCTATAGGAGGATGCTTTGAGTCAGCACAGTAGCTAGAGAGCTGACAGGTTATACAGCCACCAAGGTGAGATTATACCAAAGGGTTTTATTTATTATACCGAGGGTTTTAAGCCCTCGGACGCTCTCGGGATTGCCAACCTGAGGCCAGCTTTCACAAGAACTGGACGCAAGTACTGCAACTCCTTTTCAGGAGGACTGCCTCTTGCTCCAAGCCTGCCATACAGCAGGTATCCTTACGATATTGAACGTTGCCACCTGGGCCAGCCTGCCATGTAGCGCATGCCCTTTCAGGCAGAGGCAGTACCGCTTGGGCCATAGATTCTTGTCCTGGTATAACTGTTTTTCCCTTAAATCATGCTCTGCACCATGTCAGCTCTAGACATTCCTCCGACTATAAGCAAGATATGATTATATATATATATATATATACATATATATATGGCTGTTTATTCTTTAATTCATGCTCTATACCATGTCTGCTCTAGACATTCCTCCTATAAAATTAAATATATATATATATATATATATAAAGGAAATAACTGAGTAGTAAGATATTCTTCAGGCACTAATTGTTCCAACTATAAACGAATACATGATTATATATAAAGGATTATATAAAGGAAAGAACTGAGTAGTAACACTACAAACTAAGATATTCTTCAGGCACTAATTGTGCCAGGGGTCTGCTTAGCTCTCTTTCCTTGGTGCCCAGAAGGGAGGTTACCCACAATGCTACTAAACAAGGGGCAGATTATTCATGTCTCCCCTTTTTAGACTATATAGGGTAACTTCCTGACATTGCTATGGCACTTGTAAACTGTCATGGTGCTGATGTAAGTGCAGCAGTGAGGATGATCTGAGGTCACTGCCATTGCCATTTTGGTTTTGGTAGGTTTTGGCCAGCCTCTTTGCTGCAAACTGTTTTATCAGCAAGGTCTTTATAACCTGTATCTTGTGACCTCGTTTATAATTTCTGGATCACTTTAGCCCAGGAGTTCCAGACCAGCCTGGGCAACATGGCAATACTATGTATCTATAAAAAGTACAAAAATTAGCCTGGCAGGGTGGCATGGGTCTGTACTCCCAGCTGCTGGGAAGGCCACATGTCCTCAGCCACAGGGAGCCAGCCACACAGAGATGTCCAAACTGTCATGCAGACCCAGGGAGACAGACCACCAAATAAACAGGCTCAGTGGACACTCACACCAGCTCCCTGGTGGCCCTGGACAGCAGGAAAGGGTGTGGGGTGAGGCTTCCAGGGGCCCCAGTCTAGAAAGGGACTTCCTACCATGACTTCTCCCGAAGCACTGCATGGTGACTGGCATCAACCGTCGATGGTTATGGGTTATATAAAAATACCTCTCCTGGGCTGGGTGCAGTGGCTGACACCTGTAATCCCCGCACTTTGGGAGGCTGAGGCAGGTGGATCACTTGAGGCCAGGAGTTCAAGACCAACCTGGAAAACATGGTGAAACCCTGTCTCTACTAAAAATACAAAAATTAGCCCGGTATCATGGTATGTGCCTGTAATTCCAGCTGCTCAAGAGACTGAGGGAGGAGAATTGCTTGAACTTGGGAGGAGAAGGTTGCAGTGAGCCAAGATCGCTTCACTGCACTCCAGCCTGAGCAATAGAACAAGACTTTGTCTTTTAAATCAAAAAAAAAAAAAAAAAAAAATTCTCCCAGCCTAGATGTGGTAACTCACACCTGTAATCCCAGCAACTTGGGATGTTGAGGTGGGTGAATCACTTGAGTCCAGGAGTTTGAGACCAGCATGGGTAACATGGCAAAACCTCATCTCTACAAATAATTAGCTGGGTATGGTGACATGCACCTGTAGTCTCAGCTTCTTAGGAGGCTAAGGCGGCAGGATTGCTTGAGCCCAGGAAGCAGGGTTGCAGTAAGCTGAGATTACACTACTGAACTCCAGCCTACATAACAGGGTGAGACCCTGTCTCAAAAAAAAAAAAAAAAAGGAAGGAAGAAAGAAAGAAAAATATCCCTCCCTGACCTCCCAAATAAAGCTTCAGCATTTGCCTGAATTTTTGGGTTTTGGGGGCTGAAGATGGCAGGAGGCTGTAATAATACAGGTCATATTAGAGGTCCTTACACACCCTCATCTCCTAAACTTCAGTGACACCCCTCACCTCCAACAAGCCCCTCGGGCACTGCAGGCCTTGCTGTCCTCTCTTCTTTCGACCAGGTCAGTCTATACCATCCTTGTTATCTGCCTCAAGCCCCAGGGACATTGACAGCAAACATCTCCCTGCATTTAGGAGTCCATAGCCTGTGACTGCCCAGGGGGGTTCATCTTGCCCCCTGCCCAGATAGAGCCAATTCATCCAGACAGGGGGATTGCAAAAGAAAAAGAGTTAGATAGAAAAAGAGTTTAATCCACACACAGCCAGCTAAATGGGAGATTATTACTTGAATCAGCCTCCCTGAAAATTCAAGGGCTAGGTTTGTCAAGAACAGTTTGGTGGGCAGGAGGGCTAGGGAATGGATGCCTTGGATGCAGTCACGGGGGTGTAGAAAACAGTTGCTGGGTCGGCTTCTTGGTGGGGACCATAGAGTAGCTGCTAGTCCCAGTGGGGTCACCCAGCTGTCAGATATGCAAAAAGCCTAAAAAGACATCTCAAAAGGCCAATCTTCGGTTCTGTAATAGTCATGTTATTTACAGGAATAATTGGGGAAGTTGCGAGTCTTGTGACCTCCAGAATAATGGCTGGTCATCACTTAACTATAACTACATCTTAGCAGAATTCATGCCCCTCCCATCCTCCTAACCTAGTGCTTTTCCATTAGTTCCACAAAGTCAGTTTGGTTTTGGAAAGGGCTATTATCACTTATTTATTTTATTTTATTTTATTATTTTATTATTTATTTATTTTGAGATGGAGTCTCACTCTGTCACCAGGCTGAAGTGCAGCAGCGTGATCTCGGCTCACTGCAACTTCCACCTCCTGGTTCGAGCAATTCTCATGCCTCAGCCTCCCAAGTAGCCAGGATTACAGGTGCCCGCCACCACATCCAGCTAGTTTTTGTATTTTTAGTGGAGATGGGGTTTCACCATGTTGGCCAGGATGATCTAAATCTCCTGACCTCATGATCCTCGAGGCCTTCCAAATTCACCCTCGGCTGTAATTACAGGTGTGAGCCACTGCACCGGCTATTTTTTATTTTGCATTTATTTATTTTTGCAATGGAGTCTCGCTCTGTCACCCAGGCTGGAGTACAGTGGCATGATCTCCACTCACTGCAATCTCCGCCTCCTGGGTTCAAGCGATTCTCCTGCCTCAGCCTCCCGAGTAGCTGGGATTACAGGTATGCAGCACCATGCCTGGCTAATTTTGTATTTTTAGTAGAGACAGGTTTTCTGCATGTTGGTCAGGCTGGTCCTGAAGTCCCGACCTCGGGTGATCCACCTGCCTAAGCCACCCAAAGTGCTGGGATTATAGGCATGAGCCACCACACCCGGCCATAACTGTGCTTTTTTTTTTTTTTTAGAGATGGGGTCTTGCTATGTTGCCCAAGCTGTTCTTGAACTCCTGGGCTGAAGCATTCCTCCTACCTTAGCCTCCCAAAGTGCTGGGACTGCGGGCATGAGCCACTGCTCCCAGCCTGTTTTGTTTTTGTTTTTTAGAGACAGAGTCTTGCTCTGTATCCCAGGCTGGCATGCAGTGGCATGATCTTGGCTCACTGCAACCTCTGCCTCCCAGGTTCAAGTGATTCTTTTGCCTCAGCCTCTCAAGTAGCTGAAATTAGAGGCATGTGCCACCATGCCCAGCCTATTTTTATATTTTTAGTAGAGACAGGGCTTCACCATGTTGTCCAGGCTGGTCTCCAACTCCTAGCCTCTGGTGATCTGCCCTACTTGGCCTCTCAAAGTGCTGTGATTATAGGCATGAGACACTGCGCCTGGCCCCCCGCCTCCCAGTTTCAAGCAATTCTCCAGCCTTATTCTCCTAAGTAGCTGGGATTACGAGCATGGCCACCATAACCAGCTAATTTTTGTATTTTTAGCAGAGACAGGGTTTCACCATGTTGGCTAGTCTGGTCTCAAACTCCTGGCCTCAAGTGATCTGCCCACCTTGGCTTCCCATAGTGTTGGGATTACAGGTGTGAGCCACCGTGCCTGGCCTTGTTTTTGTTTCTGTCACCAAGGTTGACCAGACAGAAATAAAGATGGCCACTCAACTTTAAAATTTTTTTTTTCCAGCGGCAGACCTCCCCAGGCTGGACTGCAGTGGTGTGATCATAGTTCAGTGAAGCCCCAACCTCCTGGGCTCAGGCGATCCTCCCACCTCAGCCTCCTGAGTAGCTGGGACTATGGGCATTCACCCCTCAAACCCAGACCACCCTCCCTCCCCCCGCCACTTTGTTTTGGACAGACAGGTTCTATGTTGCCCAGGCTGGTCTTGAAATCCTGATGTCAAGTGATCCTCCTGCCTCAATCTTCCAATGAGTGACTATGAATTATATGTCTGTAATATGTATCCATGTCCCATTCTCAGGCTCCCAGGGCACCAGAGTGGAGGTCCCTGTTGTAGGAACTCAGATCCTCTCCTCACATTGGGCAGAATCAAGGAGCAGCCAGGCCCAGAGCCAGGATACTGGTCTCCTGCAGGTCAGGTAGTTCCTGTGGCTTGGTCCAACACTCCTATCCCACCTGGGAGAGGAGAGGGTCACTTTCCCCTCGGCTGCCCCTGTCGCACTGGAGCAGCTGGCACTGAACCAGTCTCCATGCAGATCCATGCAGTGCCACCCAAGGGTCCCCTGTAGACAATGGTGGGCCGCTTGGCAGGGGCTCCCTCCTGCCGCAGGGCTCAGACCCTGGGAGGTCCCAACCCAGGCAAACTGAAGGCCAGGCTAATTTAAAGACCCAACCCCCAGGCCTCCCACTCACCGGAGGACAGTGCTCTGGCTGGCCTGGGCCACCCCAGATAGCAGCCTCCAGCATCTGGGGTGTCTGATAATGCTTTGCAGGGAGTTTGTGCCAAGTCCCGCCATCAGTACAGTTGTTGTTGTTTAGTGGGGAGGGGGAGGGCTGTGGAGCCTCAACTGGGGGGACAGGGGTCCCACAGCTTCTCCCCAGAATACGCTTTCTGCCTGTCACCCCTTTTCCAGGAAAGTAAATTGAAGACAGGCCCCCAAGTCTCTCCTTCTCTGGAGACCCAATGTCTCTTTTTTACCTAGCACCTGGACCCTCAAAACCTGAACCCCCCAACCACTGATATTGACTTGGCTGTGGATACAGGCTTACTCTTTAAGACCCAGCCCCAAACAGGCCAATGTGAGGTTTGTGCCCCAGAAACAGTGACCCCCACCTTGCCTTGCCTCTCCTTATCAGAGTCTGCAGCCAATCAGCTAAGTGCAGAGAGGAGCCCTCGAAGGGGCTATCACAGCCTCAGAGTTCACG